TTTTTTAATTGGGAATGATTAAATTAACTAATAGGTTATAAATTAATCTTTATGGTATTTAAATTGTGTAATTCAATGTATTAATCTTATTCGTGATTATAATCATTGTTGTTGATATACTTATGATTTAGAAGCATGATACATGGTTGTAGTTATCTGATTTACCATTCTTAAATATAATTTAATAGTATTATGATTTTAATCATTCTTTTACCGCATATATGTGATCCTAGATTCGATTTAGTACTGTTTGTGGTTGTTGTGCCATTATTAGATATGGCAATGATGAGATTTATCCATGTATGTGATGAGATCATTGAGATAGCTAATAAGGTAGGCTCCTTAATATTTTACACTATTATTAGATATGATTTTGTTGGGTCGATGAGTATGTGGGCAGACTAATAAGTTTAGATACGCTACATTGTGTTATTGTTAGATATGGCTTTATTGATGGTGTATTTTATATATATGTATATGTATTACCCCTAATTTCAAAAGGATAGTCCTGGTATTTAATTTATTTTTTAAAATTGCTTTTGATTATTTATTTGGTTTGATTTAATTGTTTTAGTTGCATTTGATTACTTACTTGTTTTAATTTCATTTATTTAATTTATTTAATTGTTGTAATTGAAATTAATTATTTAGTTGGTTTACTTTACTTAACTTAATTTACTTAACTTAAATGGTTTAATGAGTTTACTTTAATTATTTAAAGTAAATTGTTTTATTTACAGTTAATTTTGTTTTCCGCGTGACTGTATGGAAGGTGGCACATAGAGTATATTAGGTTTAAGTTATATTAGGTTTAAGTTCAGCCGACATTATAATTTAACCTAGGTTGTTCTATGGGCCGAGTTATACATGGATTAGGGTTTAATCACTAAGCCTATAAATATGTATGTCACGGTGGTTTAGGGTTTTAGAAAAATAAATGTAATTTTTGTAAAAACAGAGACCGTGAGATACAGAGGGAAAACAGAGAGAGATAGGAGGGGAAGGCTAGGTGGGATCAAATGAGGAAGGAACGTGGTTTTGTGGAACAGCAGTAGGGAGTTTAACAGACAATTCAGAGAACAGTGGTGTTGAGTTTCAAATCTGAACCTCAAAGGCAAGTCTCTGTTCTACTCTTTCCCTTAAATCTGTGTTCTGTGCATGCCTAGCTAGACTCCAAGGGTTTAATGAATGCTAAAATTGAGTAATTATGCATGCTTAGTTGAACTGAAACAAAGGGTGTGTGACTTTGTTTTCATATTTCTGTTTTGAATGATTCTGAAAATTCTTGATGCACAATTGATGTTTAGGTTTAATCTTTGCATGTTAAAACATCTAAAGTAGTTTAGTATGGACGTGTGGGACTTAGGTTGAAGCTTAGAGACTTTAACTATGGAGTTTTAGGGTTTACAGAGGCTGAACAGACGAAGAAGATGACTTCAGCACCAACTCAGCCGACTAAGTTGGCAACTCAGCCAGTTAAGTTGGACCGCGACCTGGATGTTGGTTTTTAATTGTCTAGAATTATTTTTAAACATATTTTAATTAATCTAAATGGGTTTAATGGACTTAGAAAGATCCTAGAATGCATTTTATATCTATATATGCTAAGAAGGTGGATGGTTGGGAAATTCAATAACTTATATGTTGTTTAGATTGGATAGAAGGGTAAATTTAATTGCTCTGCCAATTGAAATTAATGTTTAAACGGATTAAACAATGTTCATGAAACGTTATGTTTGTTTATCTGAGATGTATGTTAGTAACTTGGAGGGTAAGTTACCTGCATGCTATTTAAACTGTGGTATTGCTTAAATAAATGCAATACTTATCTGTATGACGTGTATCATATTATCTGTGGATTAAATTGATGTATTATTTTTATATTGCATCATTTATTGGACTGGATGGTTTAATTTTATATTGTAATATTTCTGTTTTAATTGATGTGTTATTATTTTGTTGCATCAATTGTTAGACTGGATGGATTAATGCACCGGTATGGGACGGTGGCATTTTAGGGACAAATTAACCAAAGAAGTTAAATCTTACCTAACTTGGATTGAGGTATGGTTTAACCATAAGGGTTAAATCCATCTCCTACTTGTGTCATATCAATAAAATAATTGAATGACCTACTTTGGTTTCTGGATGGATTGTTATACAGGTATCAAGCCACTATACCAGATGGATAATATTTTGTATTAGGAGGATATGGACTTTATATATTTATGTTATGGTACCATGGTATGACCTTGAGTCTCAGGATCATGGTCAGGGTGCGTATATCGCCTAGGATGGATAGCTGGACAGTAGTTGCTATTCCCAGGTACTCATGACCACGTAATGTGCGATTTGCATAGTATCTCTACTCAGGCTGAGACAGACCTATTGGACTAGTGAGCGTACTATAGTGTTTAATATATACATATATGGACTACTCTAGATATTATTGAGCCTATCTAGGATGTATCTACGTATCGGATTCCTGTTTGGATCGTAGTAGATCAGGACTTGCATGTGGGCCTGACCCACTCTCTTATTATTTTCAGGTGCTCGTCAGTTCCAGGGTTAGAGCTTGGTCGTGCAGAGCAGATACAGACTTCTATTCCACCGACTATGTAGGACTGCTTACTTATTAGTTTTGGTTTTTATTTCAGTTATCTCATTTTACGGTTGGGATTTTTATTAAGGGTCCACTAGATGGATTCCCGAGTTGTTAATTAATTGGAGATTTTGGAGTTGGGTTTTATATTATTATTTTGAGGATTTTCAGTTAGAGTTCTTTTCAGCCATTTTTATTTATTTCTTATTATTTCATCTTGCATCCTGTGTTCATTAAATATTAATTGTTTGATATTTCCCTCGGGTTTGGGTCTAGGCCTGATCAACCCGCGTCTCAGATCCGAGGGGTATCACAGTATATGTGAGCCATGATAAGAGTTTGAGGTCTCAGGGTTAGTGGTTAGAACTGAGGCGTATATTACCGGTTTAGACGTGTAGCTGGATATAGGAAATGCGTGTACCCTAGTGGAAGGGGACTCTACACCAGTGCGATTTTTCCTAAGATACCCACTATCTGGTTAAGACTTTCATATTATCCAGTGAGAGTCTTAGTATGTATATATGTATGTATCAACTATATAGATATTACAAAAGTTTAGTTAGAGATGTATTGATTGTCGGTTCTCATCGAATTGTAGTAGAGGGAACTTGTTTGTGAGTCTGACCCACTATTTATTTTTTAAGTCTTCGATAGTACTAGTCTTAGAGTTATTCGTGCAAATCAAAAATCGTTCATCTTCACTCTTCCGTATCATCGATGTAGGACGTTATCTTAGATTTTATTTATTCCTCAGACTTAGTAGCAATTTATTATTTCAGTAGACGTTATTTCAGTTATGGAATTTTTTTTATTAGGGGTCCTTGATATACGGATTCCCGAGTTGTACTTTGGAGGTTTATGTTTTATTGAATTTATTTAGAGTATTGTTATTAGAGGATAATTATTTATTATTTAGTTTTCCTTTTAGCGTTATTTATTTATTATTTTTTTTTTCCATTTGTATTCTGTGCTTATTTTAAAATATTAATTGTTTTGGGTAATGACTTAATAAACCCAAATTCTAGAATTAGGGGGTATCACAACCGCCACCCCTTCCACCACCGCCACCTCTACTGCCTTCAACCACCATCGTCACTGTCTTCCACCACCACCTTCCATCATCGCCACCTCCATTGCTTTCCACCAACGCCACCTCCACGGCTTTCCACCACTACCACCTATACCACTACCAACACCACCACCTACACCACTACCACTTTCCACCTCCACTACCATCGTCACCACTAGGGATGGCAACGGGTCAAAGTTGGGGTGGGTTTGGCTAAACCCTACTCTGCCCCATTAGAAAATTTGTCATACCAACTCCAGCCCTACTCCAGGACAGGTTTATAATTTGTATACCATCCCCACCCCTACTCCAGCAGACAAATTAAGTACCAACTCCGCCTCCACCTGCTCCATTTAACTGCAGGGCGAGGGAAGGCCAAGTAAGTAAAAAAAATTAGCCCAATGTGCTAAAATTTGGCTGATAAATAAGTTGGTTCAGCTTTTAAATACTAAATAGTGAATATTCTTAATATATTAACTATACTTCCAACAAAATAACAAAGTTTTAAAAATATTAAATATATATTTTATGTATATATAAATTTCTTAATGGTACATATATAATCGAGACGGGGAGTGGCGGGGTGGGTTCACCACTAAATCTGCCTCCGCTTCAAACCCGCTTCGAGTTTTCAATTATTTTATTATACCCGTCCCAAATCCATTTAAGAAGCTACCAAATCCACTCCATTAGGGATGAAAAATCGTCGGGTCGGAGGAAATTGCCATCCTAGTCACCACCATCCACCACCGCCACTGCCACCATTTATTTTTTAAAAAAATTTAGAAAATTTATTTGTTATTAAGAGTGATATTTTGAACAACTCAATTTCAAATTTATTCTATTCTGAATTTTAAATTAGTTCATCCAAATACTAGAATGGTTATTATTATTTCATTCTTACACATTTCATATTTACAATCAAACAATAGAATGAGAATGGTCACTCTATTCCTATTCTAATTCTAATCCCACTTGCATTTTATTTCATTCCTGAACATCTCAAACGTAGCATTAATGATATGAAGAATTGTGTGACTTAGGATGAACCCACTCCTTTACCAAGCCCGTACCATACGGTATTAAGAGAAACTTTACACAAAACGAAATACAGTGCTTATTGACCTTGATATCTGTGTCAACGATATTTTATTGTCCACACGAACAAATTCTCACGCTATGAACATTTTGTTCTCATGTTCTGCGCCCACTCTCGCTTCATTTTTATTACGTATGACTTATATTATGCCATTTTCTCTCTTCGTGTGACATAGGTCTACAAAACCTCAAATTCCTCCCCACCACCTCTTTGAGAATAGTAAAGCAATAGCGTTTTTTTTACCTTTCCCCTAAATATTTGTTCGTGTAAATACAGGGAATTGGTGTTAATTGAAGTCCTACCAGACACACAAACACACGCATATATATGCTGGTGATTAACAATTCTCATATAAATTATTGCAAGCCCATTGCCACCCCAACTATGTTTAAGTGACAATATATTTGATACAGATTTTATTATTATTTTTTTTATTTTTTATTTTTTTCTTAACAAGAAACTTACATATGCATTTGAAATATTACCTTCCACATTGGGAGGCAGAAGATATACAGATTTCAAATAGAAAACTAATGAATAAGCAATTGTATGGTTCTCTCTCTAATAAAGCTGTCTTCAAATCAATTAACAAAGTTGATTTACTCCACTCCATAGCCTTCAGGGTAATAAATTAATTACCCAGAAAACCCTAGTTTAATCTTTGTCAATTACTCTGTCTCCTTCTCTCTCTATCTTCTCTCTCTCTTTCTGTACAATACAACCCACCCTTCAATTAGATGACTGCATCACAGAACATGCAACTGCTTGAGCCCAATGCCTCAACTTGGTCTTCACCTGTTGAGGATTATCACCTGAAAAAACAAATATATATATATATATATATATATATATATATATATATATATATATAATGTGAAAACTATGTCAATGAGAAGAAAGTTCACTATTTCATGCTTTAATTTTTGTGTTAAGGTACATGATGATTGTATTATATTGAAATGAAGGATAACTAATTCAACACCAAAATAATTTTAAAGTTACATATCAAAGAGATACTCTTATGATTATAGTAGATACTCTACTGTCAAAACTCGATTGTCCTGAATTCAAAAATTCTATCTACATAAAAAAATAAAAAAATTATTACTTTTTAATAAAAAAGTAATTTGAAGTTTGTACACAAAAATATGACAATCAATACAAACTAATTGAAGTGCAAGGCTTATTTGGCTTTATGATTCTAATGCTATGTTTGGTTGGAGGGATGGATTGAGGAGGGAAGAATGAGAAGAGGGATGGATGATGCTTTTCGTGTTTGGTTGGAGAGAAGGGAAAAGAGGGATGAAGCAAGAGGGATGCTTCATGTTTTTCATCCCTTCTTTCTTCATGTTTTTCTATTCGCCCAAATTTGGGGGAAGGGAGGATAATCATAAGAGTGTCTCTTTGTTTTCAAAAAAATTCAAATGGATATCTACTTTTTATTATTTTATACAGTGAGGATATATTGGTAAAAAAATATAAAAAATCCATCCTTTCTACTATCCATTCCATTCAACCAAACAAAAAAATGGAGGAGACACCTTCGGTTCCCTAGGGATTCCTCATCCATCCATCCCTCTATCTCTTCCATCCATTTTTCCGTCCCTCTAACCAAACGAATCATAAAGGAATAAGGATGGACCATAAATGTGCATTCAATTTCATGAATGTTACTCCATTGTATTTTTTTCTATTTGTGAAAAAGAAAATTATTTTCTTAATAAAATATATATATATATATATATATATATATATATATATATATATATATTTATTTATTTATTTATTCAAAATGAAAAGCGTAACCAACTAATCAATGTCAATGGAAAGAGATCAAGAGTATTTTTCTTTCTTATTTTTTTTTTGGTTGGCAAATAACATACTTCAAATTTTTTGGGTTGTAAGTATATGATTGTTATTTGTAAAATGTATAGACCTGGACCACATATCTTCCATGGATCAGACTCACTCCTTGGACTTCCAACAGCCGATGATTGTCCTTCGAGAGATATGGAGGACCCGCCAAGAGACGTCAACGAGCCTCTACTGCCCGGCGACGAGACCGGGCTGGTTGAGTATTGCCGATTCACCGCAAAATAGAAGTCAAGAGCAGGCAAGGTGTTGCATAGCCCTTGTCCATCCTCTTCGTTGAACCCAAACCCTAGCTCTATACTTCCTTTCAGCTCATTGAGATCCTCGTCGGTCAGGCCCTCGGTATCGTGAATGGAATTCCTCCTCTGCTCCTGGCGGACAATCTGGCGGCGTCGCCTCTCCCATGCAATGTCACGAGGCATCTCACACATTGACAATTGCTTGGACAGCTTCTTGCGGTTCTTCCAGAATGGCGGCGCCTGCTCCAGACGCTGGAGCTCCTCATTTTCCGACTCATATGAGGACATCGATGACGACGACGACAACGTCAACGATTTATCTTTACCTTTTGGAAATGAGGACATCGATGATGATGACGACAACGTCAACGATTTATCTTTTCCTTTTGAGACACCCATGTTCTCTTGTTTTTCTTTTTAATTTGTACTTTCAAGAATAACAGTGTAGAGAGATTGTTTCTGTCAATGTTGTGGGCGGCCGGAATGTAGGTGCGGCGGGGGTGGAGCGGCGGCGGATGGGCTTACGACCGCCTCGACCAACCAGGGAAGGGTTGGGAGGGGTGGGTGGGGGAAAGGAATGGGGGGTGTGTATGTTGATTTGAAGAAGGGCACAAGCCCCACCAGCTCATGCTGATTGACCAGGGGAGGGCCTTAATGGGAAATTGCCAGCAGATGAATAGGGGCGTCTATCCCGGCCATCCATTGGGGCTCTCTCTCTCTCCATATATATATACATCTATATATATATACATATATCGATCTCTCTCTCTACCTTTCATTTGTAAATGCTATGCATGATGCTTTCTACATTAAAATAGGAGGTGAGAAAGCTAGCCATTGTATGGGTGGTTAGCTTCTCAATATATATATGAATAATGATAGGTGGCCGAAGTGCATCCCCAAACAAACAACCGAATTTGACGTGGCCAAGCCACGTCGGAAATTGATGGAGGTCATGGAGCTACGGACCGTGTGAAGATATGCTAAAGAAGTGGGTATGGATAGAGATAAATATGTATATATATTTACACTCACATACAAATTTACATATATACTGAAAGCAAATCATAGATGTTCATAGATTCTTCGTCAATTTTCTGTCTACGATTCTGATGTATATGTTTCTCTCTTAGATTTCACAAAATCGAAGGGATACAGAACAATAAGCATTTTTCCTTTCTTCGATCACCGTATTTTGCATATAAAGTCCTAATCTTCTATTTGAATCTAAATAAGCCTTAATCTGAATTTTTTCTGAAAAAATGTGGAGATTTCCATTGCTAATTCTGATTTAGAGATGGAAGTGATCTCTTAAAAGAAGCACAAACTTTATCAGATAAACTGCTTAAATACTAGGAGCTACTACTGTAATACCATGATTTTTGAATTGATTCAATTTTGTAAAATCAGAGAAAGAAAGAGACTGCTAGAATCTAAGAAAGAGAAGAATCTATCAACCGAAGATGAAGAGACTAGAGAGAGGAATTTGGGGAGAGAAAATCAAAAGAGAGAGTTTGACTTTTCCATGTCTTCTAGCGGTGTTTAGGAATTATGAAGATGACGTGGTTATTAAATCAAGTTCGGCACCTTTTCGGGTGTTATTGTTTGGTTTTTGTATCACCACTCATATATAAATGTAAAAAACATCCTAAATATCTCGTATTTTTAACGGTATTTGAAGCATTGTAACACAATATAATATGTTTGAAGTGACTCGTAACATTTGATGTACATGTGCCACCTGAGTGTTACATTGTTTTTGCACAGTTTTATAATTAGACCATTATACAAAACAAAATTCACCAAGAGTTTTGTAAACAATGGTATCTCTTTTACACTCCAAATTAAATAGTAAGGGTTCGAATCTCCAAAAGAACAAAATGGGTATGTGAGTTACTTGTCAATGACCAAAAAAAAAAATCAAGGTTGATCCGACCCGACTCCAATAGTAATTCCTTGATCCGATAACCCTATAGATAATTTTTAATTCGAATATTCAATCCGAAAAATTCAATAATTGTTAATGGTGTTATTTTTTATTTTTATTTTTTTCTTGTCATATCATATTGATTTTAATTGAATTTGATTAGATAACTAATCAGATTAATTCTTATAATTTAGTTAACTAACAAAATATCCGGTTGAAATTGTTAACCTTTATCAGGTTCAATCTTCAATCTACGTCTGAATAATCATATTGAATGAGATCCGAATCTTATTATACTTGCCTCTTTGGAAATTTATCGAGAATATAGGGTGCCCGGCTATTGTTTCAAAAATTAGATAGATTTGACAAAAACTTGTCATTTTACTGTTAGACCCTTGAGTTATTTTAATACTTTTAACATTGTTGTTTGGTTTTTTTACCTTAAACAAAAAGGCTAAAATCATAAAACTCACACTATTTTTATTTTTTTTCCATCTAAAATTCTGTTTGTAAAAACCCATTTGCATTACAAAGTTATCACTTTGCCCTAATTATGTTACTTTGTAACATTAATGTGATTTCGCTTGCATTGTCAAAATATTTTTAGTGACAAAATTACTCCTACAAAAACATGTGCCAACGATCGGATTCGGATTGGCGGTGAAGCTTGGAAGTATGCTTAGAGAAGGCCAACAATGGACAATGCCGACGGGCACGAAGGACTGAACGGCGATCAAAGAGAGTTGAACCGACGAACAAGGATGATTTCTGAATGGTCACGACTGAACGGCGACTGGCGAGCAAGGTTTTGATTGGCGACATAGACCAGCAATTCTGACGATGGCAAGGCTGTTGGTGACTGCACGATTCCGGTGTAATTGGCTCTGCGTGGTGGAGTTACAAAGATTGGGGTTTGTGCTTTTGAATTCTTGTTTGCAGCTTAGGTGTAGGGACTGATGAGAGGTGGCGTGGCTTGGGTTTTGCAGTCCTTCGGTTTGGGGCTTGGGATTTTTTATTTTTTATTTTATTTTTATACAATTGGGGTTTGGCTTTGTGGTGACGGTTTTGGGTGGTGGCGGGCGGAGGTGCTAATGGAGGTGTTCGGTGGGGTGGGTGGTGATGGAGGTTTTGGATGGGGCTGTTTGTGGTGTATGGGTAGTGGTATTGAAGGTTTTGGGTGGGGGTGATGATGTTGGGTTTTGGGTGGTGGTAATGGAGGTTTTGGGACTGTGGTTGGTGGTTATTGTACTAGGCGCTAATGGGTGAAGGAGATGAAGGTTTGGGTATAACAGTAAAATGATTTTTTTTTTTTTTTACTTTCATTTAACAAGTCTTTAACGGATTATTGACAAAATTGGAATAATATAATAACTTTGTAATAGTGCAGAGGTTTTTACAAACAGATTAGAATTTTATGATTAAAAAAATAAAAAGTAATGGAGTTTTTATGATTTTACCCCTGAACAAAAGGAAAAGTAAGTAATGAGAATTTCTGAAACTATAAATTAGTCTAATTTTTCAAACAAGGGAGGTAAATATAATTATAACAATCTGAAATCACTACTCCATAATTTCCCCTCAATCCACCAATAATAGCCCATAAGGTTCCCTTCCAATCAAATGGTTGTGCTGTGAGACGATGCTAGGATTGGCCCACAAAGTTTTTGTTGATTTTTAATCATTTAACAAATTTTAGGATACTTGTCACATCACCATGTACTCTCAAAATAGCTGTCCACTTATAAAATTGTAACTCACAAAATTATAAATATTATAAGTCACAATTCTCAATATAAACAATTATTTTGGAACAAAAAATGTAAAAAAAAACAGCCTAGTTTAAAACATTTTGAAATATGCCACGTTGGTTTTGTGGACATATATTTATACATGTTCCGGAGAATGTGATACTCACCGATCACAAACTGCCACGCAAGCTGACAACATTTTATTATGTGGCCAAACTCAGGACGGAGCTAGAAAATTTGCTCAGGAGGGGCACATTTTGTAATATTATACACCATAATATATATATATAGAAAGAAATACTTTTGGGATTAAACTAATTATAGATGTAAAATATATGATTAATTTCACTGACATCCTCTTAAATTTAGTTAAATATTACATTGAAATATGTTTTAAAAATCACTATTACTCGTACTGTAAATGTTTGTTTCGTCTTGCACTGATAACTTTTAGAATTCTGACACCATGCAAAAAGACTTAAATATCCTTTGACTTTGTCAACAAAAATATTTAACATGAAGTATTACTTTAAAAGACTAAAATATTCCTAAATGTTCTACAAAATTACAATTTAATTATACATATATATACATATGGTGTTGCAAGAGATGCATCACCTTCGTCTCGGAAGAAGTTTCCAGTCCAATCTGCTAACCAAAAATTTTTTATTCAATATTAAGTTTTGTAAATTATAAATTAGGACATTTAAATTCAATATAAAGACTCCATACCACCGGCAAGCTTTCATCATTACACCAAAACAGAGAGCCAAACCTGGTGTTGTTCATAGAAGAATAGAGAGAGCAAGATCGAGAGACGGAGGAGGAAAATAAAGTGAATGCTTCCAACGATCGACCTTTCACTAATATATCACTGTAACCGCTGGCCGCCACTGCACCACCATCCCATCCCATCCCATCACCGTATCCACCATTCCCACCTCATGCCACCACTGCCACCGCCACCATCCAGCACCATTGATCTATTATACCATCTGATATTTCTCAATCCCATCGTCGAAATACCATCAAGTCAACGTCGGCTATGGAGTTTCGGTGGTGGTGGTTATGGGTTGGTAGATATATGGTTTTGGGATTTAAAGATGTCATCTTCAACAAATCAAGTGGCGCCACTACCACCATCCCTACTACCACCACCACCACCACAAACCTTAACCTCACCCCTACAACCACCGGATAATGAACAAAGCGATGACGCTCCTCCTCCGGCCGACTAACACAGATTCCCTGCAGCTGCTGACAATGACTTCATCGTCATCACAACACATTTCCCTCGACACCAAACAACAATAATCTTCACTTGCCAAAACCCTATGGTTTCAATTCATCCCCAAATCCTGAGTGCACTCCGTCGCCGTTCGATTCCTCTATTCCGGAATAAAATGGTGATTCGAAGTCCTATGATGTCGAAGTTAATACGGACAGCTTCGTTGGTTTTTTTCACCATCATCGGAACCATGGTCGTCACCGGATAATTTGCTCGCCGTCGTCCGATCCGCTTCTTTTTGCCGTCGCTCGAAGTGGACGTTCACAGATCGAGCTCTATAAATGTGTCTATATATATATACTACGAACAAAAATGGGTAATTTTGTCTTTTTAAGTTTACTATATTTTGAATTAAAATGAATTTTTTAAAAAAAAGGTAAGGTTGTCTTTTCACACGATTTTAACGGTGTTACTGGTGAAATGTAAAATTGGACCTAAGTGATAGTAATTTTCGAAGGATGTTTCAAAGTGATATTTGGCAAACCTGAAGGAATGTAGTTAACGAATATAAAAATTAAAAAAACTATTTAAGAGGGAAAAAAAAAAAAAAAAAAAAAAAAAAAAAACAACATATATAGAATATTACGATGGAATGAGAAAATTAGGGGGGGCCCGGGGGGTTCTATATTTTTATGAAAAATATAGATATTATAATTAAAGTATATATAAAATATAAGAAGGGGAGAAAATTCAGCCGCCCAGGGGGGCTCCGTCCCTGGCCAAACTGCCATGCAAGCTGACAACATTTTATTGTGTGGCAGCTTGTGATTGGCCTAGGCCATATACTTCAGCCCTTCGGTGCAGAGACCTTTTTAACAGTTTATGCAGGACACAAGCTACGTGTAACAAATAAATTAAAAAAAAAAAAAAAAAAAACAGAGGCTATGCCAGGTGAAATTGAAGGGCACAGAACAAGTAACGTTGCAATCCCAAGTACCATGACTCATAAGCATAAATTCATGATTCTGAATTAAGGTCTTAGGAACAGCCATCAAAGTTGTGATGCCAAACAATTTGACTGGAAGAAACAGAGCAAAATCCTACCTGCAACTGTAAAGACAGTAAAAATGACACAATCCATAGGCAGCACAAACCTTCCCACAACTCCAGATAGAGCTAGGCTGTATTGAGAAAAGAACAGTATCAGGGAAAACTGATCAATCAACCACTTCTCGCTACTAGCTTAGTGAGAAAAATAACGACAACCAAATGAAACTATAATTAGTGAGCCGTGTGACGCACCAAATAAGATTACTGGGATCTCTGTACAAGCAAAATAAAAGTTCCCATCCTGGCATAAGAGCCCTTTCCCATAGATTCTAGAGGAGACCTTCAAATTGCCAACTCCGCCTAAGAACAAAACTCAAGAGACCACCAAAAATATAAGGAACACCACGAAAAGACTCGTAATATACCATATATACAATCCATCTCAACAACAAGAACGCGAATTATCAGAAGCACAATACAACTACAGGGAACAAGTGTGCTTAGAGATCCACTGCAAATCCAAATAGAACACTGAATTAGTGGTACAAATAGGTGCCAGTGTTGATTTGCCCTGCTCCTTAGTAACTTAGACGCCAAAACGCCAGATCTGTAGTGGATACCATACCATCAGATTTCCAACCCAAAAAAGAAATAAAGTACCATCAGCTTAAAAAAAATACATGAAAATATGCGAAATACCACCAAAAGACTCATAAGAATACATATAATCCATCTCAACAAGAAGAACAGGAATGATCAAAAGCACAGTACAACTACAGTGAACAAGTTCAATGCAAATAAATAGGAGTTAGTATTGACTTGCCCTGCTTAGTAACTTATAGACGCCAAGACGCCAGATCTGTAGTGGATACCATACTAAGAGATTACCAACCCAAAAAATAAATAAGTATCATCAGCTTAAAAAAATACATGACCAACAAAATCTCCAGAATAAGATTAAAGAAGGTAAAATAAAAAGTCTGATAATACGAAAAATCCCCATGATATCCAGAAAGTTTCAATATAAACCTTTTGAGTGACAGCTTGCTTCAGCAAAACCGTTTATCTCTTTCTACCACCACGTTCTCTTAAAGAAAGAGCAAGTGTTTCTCCTGCTGCCACATTGTAGTATGCAAGTGATAAATTGTCCTTAAAAAAGCCAGCCTTTCCACTCAATTTCTGTTTGTTTGCAGGAAGCTGGATCTCTCCTGCAATTTTCTCCTTCAAACTGCCAATGGTTTCAGATAAGGATTGTACTGTAATCTCCAATACTTGCCCTTTGAGGTTTCCTTCATCAACATTTGGCACCGACACAGTGATGCGAACAGGTCCCTGCAGTAAACAACAAAAAGAGAGATAATCTCAATAAGGTGAAATGACAATTCTACAAATAGTAACTATAATGCAATCACCAGATGAAATAATCAAATGAATGATTTCACAAACAAACGATGTAAAGACAAATGCAGAGGAGCCTCGTACCGGATGTTGAGCAAGAAATTGGTCTTCCGGAATAAGCATAGAATCATCAAGCCTTTGCCTCTTTGGCTCTGGTTCGTCCGGAAGAGGTGGAGGAGCTTCCTCAGGTGGCGGTGGGGGAGGCATTCCTTGAGGTAGAGGCGGGGGTGGAACCATGGGCATGCCAGGTTGGGGAATGGAATGGGGAACGTAAGGACGAGGAGCAGCCAAAGGTGTAAACTGAGATCCAGGTGGGGGTGGCACAGGAATGCTAGGGGGATTCACAGAATAAGATTGAGGCATTGGTGGTGGTCGGTTTACCAAAAGTTGTTGCTGTCCCGGCATTAGTGGCATTTGATGAGGTAAAGGCCGACCTGGCGCAACCATAGTGACGACTGGTGGCCTGGGTGGAGGTAAAAGGACCCCACTACCAGTAGGAGCAGAATACTGGATTGCATTTGGAGGCGGCCGAAGAACATTCAAGGCTAATCCAGGTGGTGGAAGAGGAATTGACCGAATTGTTGGCATACCAGGTCTAGGGGGAGGAGGAGGAGCTGCAGGGCCAGGAAGATTTCTCGCATCATTGGCTGCATCATTTTGATCCTCTCCATTGGCACCTTGAGACATCGCTTGGTTTGCAGTCCGCCCGATGCTTCCTGTGTGACCATCCCATATGACCTGCTTAGGTTGGTCATCTTTCTTCTTCTCAATCTCTGCCTTCACGGCATTAGAAACTTCTTCCTCTGTTGTACCAAAAATATCAGGACGGGTCCGTGCAAGTCCAACAATGTTTTTGGATATCTCATCGTCCTGAGCAAGAGTAGTCTCACGAATCTTAGCAAACATCCTATCTTTTTGCTCCTTGTACTTGGGATCAATGAGTGAAATCCTCATATGTTCGGACATCTCATTAATGGGAATTAGTTCGCCAGTAATAGGGGAAACAACAAATTTAGTCGGGTCTCTTTCAGCAGGTATCCTGTCCTCAGGCCTTTTCCAGTTCTTCACAATTCTCATTGGTGGTTCTTGCTCCTCATGAGTTGCTTTCATCTCATACTTCTTCTCACCATTCTCTTCGATACTAGCTGCCCTCATGCCCTCTTCAACAAGCTGCACCTCTTCTTCATCCATCTCCATTTCAACCTCCTTTCCGGGTTCAACAATATCCTCTTCCTCCATCGCTGTCATCTTGCTCCTCCTTATAACCTCTTCAAGCGTCATTGGAGGAGGTAAATCCTCATCCTCATCATCGGCAAAGTCTATTGTCTCAACCACAACAAAATCATGCCAATCAATCATAGCCATTTGCACACGTTCCTGTTCAATCTCATCTTCTGCTTTCTGCCTTGCCTGCTCTTGTGAACGTTCCCACTCTAACCGGTGCAAACACCGTTCAAGCACAGTAGTCATATCAGCAACACTCTTCCTCAGCTTATCAGTCAACCCTTTTGGAGGCATCAACACTTTAGAGTACGCATCTGCAAGTGATGTAAAAAACATGAACATACTGTGGGTTGGTTTCAGAAAATGAAATTGGGGGTTGTTAATCTCTCTGCTTGTCAGTCCCGTCAAAAACGATTTCCCATTGCGAGCCACGAATTGTGCAGTGAGTTTAATAATATCCAGCTCCTCCCCGGTTATTCCTTCAGGAAGCCGGACAGTGTACTGCTCTGCCTCTGGAGGCTCAAGAACTTTATGGATGGGTCTAAACTGGGAAGCAGGATCAGGCTTTGCAGCTGCGTCATTACTATCAGCAGCCGGAGCAGAAGGAGCTGACTCAAGAACAGATGAATCTGCAGATTCTGAAGGAGTCTGCTGTTGAGCAGAAGCTTGATTCTGCGAACGAAACTCGGAAAGGCGGTGCTGGTAATATGCATGGTATGGATCTGAAGCATTCAAGAAATTGAACTTCGCATTTCCTGCATTGTTTGCAATAATCCTTTTCTCAAACTCGGGTCCATTCTTTGCCACAAACTGTGCAGTTTTGTCAACAATATTTCTGATATCCGGAGGAGGGTGTATAATTCCAATGGTTCTTGTATGAGTCGCAACCGATGCAGGAGCTGAATTCTGATCCTCAGCAGCCTCTAACATATTCTCATCATCGGACTTCTCTGGAACTTGAGATGGGGGAAGTGGACCAAGATTTCCATCAGAAGGGGGTGCCGGAAGGGGCAATATCGGTTGCATGACCGGCATTTTTTCCTCTTGACGTAAAAGTAAACACAAAGCAAATGATTCACTCTAAAAAATTCAGCTTAACCTCATGGTCCGAGCAAGCACTAATTAGATCCTGCAAGTATCTGATTTTTCCCTCTGAAAGGAAACCAAAGCTGATATGAAAATTCAGAATCTACAAATAACAACTTATCTCATTCAAAACCAGTTTAAATCAAGCTTATATGCGCACACACAAACCCGCGCAAAACACACACACACATATATTTGTTCTAAACAAGTATAAGGGTTAATTAGGTTTTGATTTTAGTTTTATAGAGTGCCAAATACGAATGCCTTTACTTTTCATGTCCCTTTTCTCAGTAAGGGCACCATGCTTAATCAAAAATTCAACTTCGTTGGGAACAAAAATTGGGAACCCATTATACGACCTCCGAAGAAAATCGCAGTATGAACTTCACGAATGGAAAATTAGGGTTTTCAACTAGGAGAATTAGGGTTTTATGCTATGAAGTTAGAAACGTCCACGATAATTAAAATCATGTTATTTTCTGTAATATATGAAGACAAAATCAGATAAATGTTAAAATAACGAAACAAAATACAGATTTAGACTAGAGATCTTGAAATCTATCTTATCGATTCATACGAATTAAATTCTTCCAAACAAAAAATAGAAGAACAAGAGAGAGAAGGAGATACATATATAAATATATATATATATATATATATATATAGAGAGAGAGAGAGAGAGAGAGAGAGTTTACCTCTGCTGTTCGATGAGCTCTGCTACGCTCTCCTCCAGGTCGGGGATGTAAAACGAGAGAGAGAGAGAGAGAGAGAGAGAGAGATGTTCTTCGCTTTCGCTTTAGGCTTTTTACAGTCCTAAATGGCCAATGTTTTTCAAGCCCAGTTATGATTTTAATGGGCTTACCTTCTGTACTAGTCCACTGGACTCAGTTAATCAACCCACATCTCATAGTTGGGCTAACTGGTCCCTTAATATTTATCAGGCAATAATCCTACAAGGTTGGTGAATGCCCTTTTACCTATGAGGACCTTAATAATTCGCCAAAAAAAAAAATCAAGGTTTAAGGATGTCAATTTCACCCGAAATACGGGTAATGGTTGGGATTCGGTGCAACATCGGTGGTATCGGGCCTCTTAGAACACATTATAATCCATCGATGGATACATGCAGTCCCCGTTAAACATGAACCATGCAATTATAGGGAAAAAAAAAAAAAAAAAATCCTTAAGAATAGCTTTAAAGGGATTCGAACTCTCAATTTTCAAGTGTTGAAAGATGAAACTGATTTTTAAAAGATAAATACTATTGATAAAACCAAACTGCTTTAAAGGCAAACCATTGATGGTGAAAGTTGTTTTTTGCATAGAAGCCTCCCTCTTATTGGTATGACTAGAATATTTTGCCAAATATCCTACCCTCTCTTACTAGAACAGATCTGACAAATTATATATACTCTACTTCCTTTATTCAAAAATAAGTTTTATTTATTTATTTAGATGTCAAGTGTTTTTGGGTTCTCAAAATTGTTCTAAGATTTTGAATATTTTTCTCAAGTAACAAAGTAAATTTCAAACTTTTAGTGGATCAATTTTAAAATTTCTACCTTCCAAAAATAAATAAATAAATAAATAAAATTTCTAAGTCCATGTCTCCTTAAAAAAGTTAAGTATTGGAAGTTTTATATATATATATATATATATATAGTGTCAAAAGTTCAAAACTCAAAAGGGTACAAGAGCGCATATATATTCCAATAGTTGAAAAATCCAAACACAAACTGGGACTAGATTCACTTTCATTGTAATCCAACTACAGTCCTAATTGGCCAATGCTGAATAAGCCCAGTTCTGATCTTAACGGGCTTACCTACTTGGGCTAGACCACTGGACTATATTAATCAGCCTAAATCTCATAGTTGGGCTAATTGGTCCCTTAAAAAAAAAAAAAAAAAAAAAAAAAAAAAAAAAATCATGCAATGATCAGACTTTTGGGGAAACCACTTGTACAAGTTGTACTACTAGGCTGCTAATGCCCTTTACCTAAGAGGAATTTCATATTCAACCAGAAAAAGAAAAAAAAAATTAAGGTAAATAATTCACCAAGGAAAATGGAATACTAATAAGGCTAGTGCAGACTATGAACATGTCATGTCATCACTTCTGTTAAGATTTAGTTGTGTATACAATCATAACATAATGTGTAACAACCCAAACTCGGGGGTCTGGATCGCTAATTGGGTCCTTGTCCAGACCAGAGGACACACAAGGTTACTATGGTCATTTCATGCAATGGAGATAGATAATTTGACACTAAGTAAGTCCAAATAGGTAAATTTAACTCAGTCAAGTCATTATATAATAAATCAAGAAGTTCTAATGGTCGTACACTTGGTTTCCCCATAATTACGCATTCTCGGCATAACCGGATTCCTGACACGGTTTCACTAAACCTGAATATCTTCCCATCGGAATTGAATCTGAGAATGGCATTGGTACCATTGGAAAGCTAACGAAAAATTCTTCATTTTGAGCTCAAGAATGACCCCATTTGGATTTTAAAAGAAAAAGATATAGCTGTTTGAAAATGGCACATCAGTGCTGAAAAAGGAGGTGCGAGTGCTCGGATGACACCCTGCGAGCGCTCGTAGGGCATCCGGCGAGCGCATCTGGCAAACTCCGAGCGCTCAGCTAAGGGTTGTTGGCTACTGGAAAATGGTGCTCGGAGGGGCTGAGATTGCTCAGCCCTAGGCTAAGAGCACTCGGGAAGGTCATGGGATGGAGTTTTTAGCCCATTTTTTATCTGGTTCCTATTACCGAGCATGATATTTCTCCATTTTGACCATTATCCCCCTGTCCCAACTTACAAGCATAGATAAATGAAATGTTATAACTTAAAATACATTAACATAAATGAGGCAAATATCTTATTTTACATTGATTTGTCCCAAAACATACATCTTGATAATATACAAATGTAATACTACGATCACCTATTACACGCCTCAAAATTATTCATAACAATTACATTGATCCATCATTATATCACAGACAAAATAAATGACTTCTATAGTCTCAAGTACATTGCTTTCAATGAGTTAACAAAAGAATAAACCCACATTACACTATAACTCTATTTCTACATTAAGGTTTGGTTACAAGAGGTCGTCAACGGTCGTCATAGCCACAATTTGATTAGCGAAGGTGCGTCAACTACTACATCATTTCCATAACCTGAAAAATATTAAAGGAATGGGTGAGCACGAAGACTCAGTAGAAAATGCCTAAGGCATCAACTTTGGACTCACTTGAGCCACATATCACATATTAAGGCTAAAAGAAAACCGGGGTCATGCATTGTGATCTTTATAACATTTAAGCCATAAAATCAATCTCATCAATGGCATTTATACGATTTATCACAATTATTCATAGAAGTGCAATGCAATGCACCACATCCCCAATCTTGGTCTCCACTAACCCTAACTCATATCGAAAATCACTAACCGACTTTACCGAGGCAAGATTAATTAGGTATCCTTGGCCTCTAAACCGACGACCATTTGGGGACTAGTAATCAACTTTATGCGTCCTAAACTGGTATGCGCTCCCTCTAGGTCAAGGTTAGCACCGAACTCGCGAAATCCGGTTCTTTTTATAAAAATTCATTTCAAGCCTTTTCTCATTTCCCTTTCCCTTTATGTCATGCATATGCTTCAATTTCATCAACTAGACTTCAATTTCAATTTTGCAATAGTAATAGCATCAACATAACATTCTTTATACAATGGATACAAACATGACATTTTCTACGATTTGGCTACAAGCATGTTCATCATATAACTCACATTTCACAATCATGCTAGCATTTAGAACATAGCATAGAATAATACTTCATTCATCACAAGTAAGCATGCTTAATCCACATATTTCATATCATCATCATCTAATTAGCAACATAGTTATAATTTTACATTCAACGTGAATTTTTTAGGAGGACAAGGCAATTTATTTCAATGAAAGACAAAGCTTAGAACATTAGGAAACCTCTACCTCAATTGTGTGCAACCAAACAAGCCCTTAGCTAGACCCCAATCTCGAAATTCTCCAAACACTAGCATCCATATCACCAAATGAAAGCCATTGCCGTGTAGAATCACAAAACTCTCTCCTTACTCTTCATCAAAATCATACTCTAAACACTTCAAATATAAACTTTAACAAGGTAGATATATATTTGTACATAGATATAAAGAGAGAAAAAGAAAAATTTAGAGAGAAAGAGGAAATGCCGAAATATATGGGGAAAGAAGGAAAGGGTTGGGTTTGTCTTGCAAAAGGGGTGTGGTTCAAGTGTCAAATTATTGTGGTTTACTAACTTTTACCAAGTTACCACTATTGTAATGCCAACAAGATCCCCAAAATGTCATTTATAATCTATAGATACATGTATATGTATAACCATAACGTCCCTCAATGCAAATGGCAAAAGTGAAAAAAGTTATCGAGCACGGAAATCGTCACAACTTTCAAAAATTTTTAAAATCAATCCCATCGCCTCTAATTGACTTAAAATAATTAAAATGCATTTCTAAAACCCTCGGCTCAAGAAAATGACCTAAACGGCTCGCGTGGCACGCAAAACGAGCCATGAAAAATAAATAAAATAAAAATTAGAAAAAAAACAGAAAATCCGGGACATTACATAATGACTAGTTTGCACAATTGATAATGTGGTATGTTTATAGTCGTTGGATAATGTCTTAGAGATGTTTGAAGAGAAAATTTAATAGAGAAAATTAATTTTTAATCCATCTCTCCCTCCCACTTATTATTATTTGATTAAAAAAAAAAAAAAAAGCATGATATTTCCTTTATAAAGTTAGTATTTCATATTGTAGGAATAATCAAAATGAGTGCATAAACGTAATCGATTTACTTCAAAGTAGCTTTACTCGAATCGAAAGACAAATTGTCGGATTCTTCACATGGCTTCTCAACCTCCTTAAGATCTCGTGAGCGGAATGCTCTAATCTATAACCCAAAAGCTTTTCTTGCTCTACAAAACAATTCACATAGAGGATTTTGTGTGTGCTAAGATTTGTGTGTTTCCTTCTTTGGTTCTCAAAAAAAATTAGACAAATAAAGCTCCTAAATATAATCCAAACTTTCCAAACCGGATCAGACACACTCATTAGGCACGATTAGGGGTGGCAAAATTTGTCATGATTCGCCAACACGATTCAAACACACAACACGATATAAATGGGGTTTGGGTTTACCTTAATTGGGTTTGGGTCATAAATTGGTCGACACGATTAGTCCGTTTAATTAATCGTGTCGTGTTAAGGTTGAGGGGATTAACACGTGTAACCCGTTTATTCTTGTTTAAATAAAAGTTTCATAATCGTTTTAAACTATCACTCGTGTAACTCGTTACTTGTTTAGACCTAATTACTATAGACCATTAGGTCATCTCAACATAAACCCTAATAAAAAAATATATTAGCTCCTTAACTAATATATATATATTTTAGTATTTATTGTTTGATTAAAAATTATAAATAATCTAAATAATATAATGCCTTCTTTTGATAAATATGTCATTAAATAGGTTAACATGTGTAACATGTTTAATAAATATGTCGGATTTGTGTTTGGGTCGATCTCTTCAATAAAATACCTTGACACAACATAATTATGACCTGCGAACACGATATTCGCATTGCCACCGTTAACCTTGATTTGAGTCTGAACCCAAAGTCCAAGACATATGAATTAAGAGAAGACAGAATTTTTAAGACTCCAAAGGACCATTTTTGCTACAAATAGTTTTGAAACATGTGA